TCAGGCTGTCCAATTTTGGCTATCAAAGGAATTTTTTCCTCCAGTTATTTCCAAAGTTGGACAGCATACATTCCTCTTACTTATTAATTTATAGCTGATATAAGAGAAGGCCCAGTTTAGAGAATACCCAGCCCCATTCTCTCTTGGAATATGTGCAAACAGTTACTAGGAATTTTGAATTCGTGGTTGTCGACGCGGACGAGTTAAAATTCTTTGAATGAGATGAAAATAGAAATAAAACTGTGAAATGATACTGATACCAGGACGCACAAACACAAAAGAAGTAAAACTGAAACAAAAAGACAAAAAAAGAGGATTAATAGCAATGGAGAAGATTAACATGAATGCAAACTTGGAACTATGAAGTAGCTGCTATGATTAACAATACTCTGTATATTCACTTGGCAATTATGTTTTTCAGTGTCTTTCAGCATAGGGTCTGGAACCGAGTACTCCTCGCCATATTGCAAATCCTGCAGCATTGGAGGAACCATCACAGTGACCATGTCATGTAGCATCAAGATAGATGGTAGCGACGACAAGAAATGTGACAAGGAAAAGTTCAAGGAAACCAGCTGTGATTACGTTACTTTGACCAATAAAGGGTATCGCTGTGCTGAGGTGGAAGACAATTACGCAAACTATGTGGATAAAGAAGTGAACATTATAAAAGATTGTGATAATGTCTGCCCAGCCTCTGGCTCAGGTTGGTTTTAGTTTGACTCTAAAAAGAATTGTATACTCGGAGTATGATCTAGCCAACAGGAAAAAAAAATACCCGACACTACACAGTACAAGAGCACTTTTCGATAGAGTGTCTTACAAAAAAAACCAGAGTAAACACAACAACCAATCAGAAGAAAGGAAAATACCTTTAAAAGCCAGTGAGAACTGAAAGTGAAACCAACGGAACTGTCTTAAGCGCGGGAAAACGCAGACGACCAAGTTGTGCTTAGTTTTAGTATTGCATCTGATTGGTCGAAAGAGTGGCGCTAGTATTCTGGACCAATCACTGAGCGAAGTAAAGTAAACCCAACAAAATCTCGGGTTACTTTAGACACAGTTGAAAATGTCTCTATTTTCTTAAAAAATACGTAATTTATTCAGTTATGCCGTTTCAAGGGAGCGACTGAATAACACAATCTACCATAAACTTAACTTGAGAGCACTACTAACTTAATCCTCAGTCAAAACTGATACAAACTCAAATCAAACTAACTGCTATCTCTAAATCTCTTCTGAAACTCTTGACTGTGTGCATACCTCCAATGCACACCCCAATAGCTCTTTGTAGCTTCTTCCGGAAGTCGGTGGTCTTTGCCGACAACAACAATTTCTCTGCCGGTGACCGCTATATATCTAACATATATAAGGCATCATAAGAGGTACAGGAAACTTCAACATTAACTTTTAATTTCTTGTTGCAGTAGAATGATAGAATGTTCTAGAAAGTTCTAGAGAGATACATCAGAATGCTTCAGAAATCGTATTGCATGCCGAACCAGTTCGAGAAACTTCCAGACACTCGCTTAGTTACTGTCGTTACACTACACTCCCAGAGATCCTTCAAAATAATAAAGTTACAAAACAAAAATAGAGTTACTTATTTTTTTATTTATTCCAGACACTCGATATCTAAAGTTACTCTACACCCCCAGAGATCCTTCAATTTAAAGCCAAACTGTCTTTTTTTTTCTTTAGTGTCGTCTCCACACCTGGTGTTCATTTTGTCATCTGTTCTCGCTGTCGGCAGGTAAGTAACCATCACTTACTCGAGCTTTCATTCAAACCTAGCGTAAGTTCTTCAATCAACGTAAGAACTGTTGGACATTAACAAGTTAATTTAATCTTGATAAAGATTTTACCACAGGACCTGTCATTTGCTTCAGCTGTTCATTTGTCTCCAACAGATATTACCGGTAAAGATTGTCAGACTTTACTTGTCACATATCATCCTTGCAAAGAAAATCTGAATTTCTTTATTTTAATTCAGAAGGCGTCCATCTTGATGGTCATGTTAGATGACGTCACGTCTCATATCCCATAAAAGATAAATCATTTCCCGCCACAGGTCACCCAGCTTCTCGAGTCCCAGAGCTACGAAGGATTTAGATATGGATCCATCTCTTGATGCATCATCTTAAAGAAAGGGCCAATTTGTTTTTATTCCTTAGGTTATTGCAGTGATCCACCGGCCTTTAAGATCTGGAGTTACCAGCAAGACGAATTGAATCAACCTTGTTCCCAGGGCCTTTTCCCTTAAGGGAAAAGGACCTGGGAACGAGGTTGTAATTGAATACGTTTCATTTTTCAGGAGTAAATACAAAAATAGAAAACAAATAGTTGTATTTCATCGAAGTTCACTAGATACAAGCCAAGGGATGATTTTATGTAAAAGCAATCCTTATGGCGAAAGTTTGGTATTTCCGTTTGTAGAGAAAATAGACGCCACAACTGACATGGATAGAAAGCGAGTGAAAATAGAGATGGTGCATGTTAAAGTCATTTTATCGATATATATACATCAAAACGATGATTTTAAGATATGTAACTTGCAGTTCACATTGTCTTCTTAATCAAATGCGACCACAGAGCGAGGGCACAGCGGCAAAATGAGTGCGCATGTTCCACCACTCGAGCGATTGGAGTGTTTTAGGACTACCACTCTTCTGCGAACAAAGCTGACGCGCGTTTTTCCGCTGAGACAACAAAAATATTTTTCTCTAGGTAGTTTGCTTTCTGAAGAGACGATGACAAGAAGCGCTAAAGCGATAACAAGTGTATAGTGTGTATCATGGGGCTCATCTGTAGTTCAGCTGCCTTTGTTGTATTAAGAATACTTTGAAGCTTTATAGAGCGGTTCAACTTTAAATAGAAACAAGTGTGTATAACGTGTATCATTAAAAGTTCATAAAGAAGATGAGTTTTTAGGAACTCTTGCTTTAGTTTTTTAGTCGCTGTGTACCCGCCTTCTTCGAAATTAGGAAGAACATCGGTAGAGAGCCCTTGATTCAGGAAAAAATAGAAAAATTAGAAACCACGAAAATGTAAATAAGTCGCTCCCCATGCAGACAGGTAGAGGTCTCCAGCTGGTATTTCACCGATTGAGATCTGGCCCGTGAGGAAGAAAGGTTGGGTGGGGCACGACGAGGGTCTCCGTAGTCCCCTCTCTTCTGTGCAAAGAGCGTTTTCCGAGAGACTGATGAAATTACAAAAAGCATATCCTGATGAATATTGGGCGATGAATAATCTAGTTAAGCGTACACCACTGTTTACGCATGTAAATACTGCAATAGTTATTGGGGGACTCAAAATAACTACGGGCAAGTTTCATCATACTTTTTAAAATCATTAATTTTATTTTCTCTTAACCAACTGGAAACAAAAGCAGCAGGTTTCTTATTAATAATTAGCTGCAACTAACCACACCTTATTTTCTGAACCAAAAAATAATAATAATAAAATAAATTATATATAAATATAAACTGCAGACAGTACTGTTTCAGCCCTCTGGGCCTCATCAGGGCAGTGCTGATGCTAGGATGGGGGAGAACCGAGACGGTCACCCCAAACGACCCAACCTTTGTGGTATCGTCTAAGTATATATATACACACGCCTTAAACAATACATGGTGGGTATATATATATATAGTTCATATATATTCATATATATATATTCATATTCATATATCATATATAGTATAGTTCATATATATATGGTTCATATATATAGTTCATATATATATATTCATATATATGGTTCATATATATATATATAGTAGCAAATGGACTACTCAAGTTACGCACATATGGATTATATATATATATATACACACGTCTTAAACAATACATGGTGGGGCAAATTTTAAACAGCCACACGAGTATCTTTCTACCAATAAATAACCCCCCCCCCTTAAGTTTAGGCACGGAACAAATTTTCTCTTGTAAATTCTTTACTTCTTTAAGCCTCAGTTTCCTTTAATTGTAAAATATACACTAAAAACCTTTACATCAGGAAAATACCATAATACGGATAAAAATAACACTACTTTGCGAGATCCTTGCTCATAGAATCACCACAAAATGGCTTGAGGTGACTTTGTTTAATCCACCAATGATAAAATTAAAAATTATTTACTTATGCTTATCTATCCTCCCTTTTACGAGGTGATATCGACGTGCTTCAACCAGCAATAGTGATACTTAATAATTAGTTTTTCTCGTTAACGCTTCTCGTAATACGCCACGGAACCCTGAAGAGTATTTTGACAATCGACAACCATCTCATTGTCGAATAAAGTTAAAAGAAGGATATAAAGAAGCCAATTCAACAGCGACATAATCCAAGTTACCATTCAAATACTAAATAGTCAGTAAAAAATAATTTAAAAAACCTAATCTTTATTTCCAATTTTACCATTACACCTCTGGCGTCATTGCCATCATTTCTTTTAATTTGATTTTAAAATTTCTCTTTAAAACAGCCGCAACGACTGTAAAAGCTGAGGTTCTAGGTCCCCGACACCCCCAGTAAATTTCATTCACTGACTATCTGATCTTGAACCGCGCAATTTTCCTCCAAAGAAGGACATCAACCCAAGTCCTCCGAAGTCCTCAAAAGCAAAAGCGTTGGTGATTTTTTCCAGCCTCTCTTCGCTCTTCGGGGGTGGTGCCTGGACAGGTGGGGCAGGACTCTCCAAACTCTTACTCCCTCCTTGGGACCAGAATCCCCGGACACCAGCCAAGCTACTCAATTTAGTACCTCCACCAAAAAACCCACCGGTGGCTCCGGGTATTGCGTCAAGACTGGAAGAAGGCGCGTTCTTTCCAAAGAAATTTCCGCTGTCTTGATCAAATTTGGAAGGAGACGGAGGCGATTCACCGGGCTTGAACACCGGGAGGGCATCTAAACTTGTAGACCGCAGCTTTGATCCTGCAAGCGAACTTGGAAAACCAACCGAAAAATTGGATCGCTGCACCAGACTTGTTAGGCTCCCTATACTTGGAGTACGACGGAGACGACCAAAAAAGCCCCCTTCAGAACCGTCTTTTGAGGGCCCTGCTAGGCTGTCGTTGCTGAGATCCTTCATATTACCGATACTAGAGCTTCTTTTCAATCGTGCGCCTAGTCCACCGCTGCCAAACTGGTCAAAACTGCTTAAACTTCCCATCTCTTGAAGATCACCGCTGCTGGCACGCCTGCGCAGTGTAGGAAACTTCAATTCAGAAAAATCAAGTCCCGGAGAAGTATCCGACTTGGAATTATTTGAGTTCTTAAGCAGCTGAGACGAGTCTAAACTGTGACGCTTATTTGAGGCATCGTCTACCATTGCACCCTGAGCCAAGCTTAATAAGTTAGTGCCACTGGAGTTCCTGACCAAAGTACTTCGTGTAAGAACACTTGGAGTGGTTGACGTACTGCTCGTGGTGCTCGGCAGACCACTTGTCTTCGCGGTCGTAGTAATTGGCGCAGGTATCGTCAAACCAGCTGATAAGCCACTAGTACCGAGTATCTTACTCAACAACATTCCACCTCCGGATGAGGGTAGGGTGCTTGTGAAAGGTACTACTGGGGGAGGGGAGGTGGGTGATTTGACTTGAGATGGCGCAGTGCTGTTACCACGCTCTTTCTCACTAAAGTAATTCGCCAAGTTGCGAAGAGACTCGGCCCTATTAGGCTCCTTTTCAGAGGCCTCCTTACTGGCCTTACTGAGGACGTCAGCGAGTACTTTTCCCACTGAGGATGTCCCCGAAGATGTCGAGGAGGGGCTGTTCAGCAGGTGCGTCAAGATACTGCCGCTGTCGCCACCACGTTCTTTGAAGCCTCCCTGGAAGCCTTGACCGCTTACAAGCGATATTAGCCCTAGATTCTGTGGAGGAGCCTTTTTAGAGCTACCTTTCTCAGCCACGGTCTCTTCTTTCTTTTTGGAGGTGGTCCCTAGTTCAAGCCCGTGAGGGACTCGCATCTGGATAGGTTCATCATCCTCGTCACCATCTTCTGTCCCTGTTTGGCTGACAGCTTCGGAGGTACTCTCCGAGGTACGGGGAAGATTCATGTACAAAGGTTCATCTTCCTCGGACTCGTCGGCGTCCAAATCACTTGACTCCTTCCGTTCTCTTGGTTCGTTCTCCGATGCATCCGCGCCCTCTCCTTTAACGTGTACCCCAGGCCGAGTCTCCGCCAAATTCAGGGTGGGGTTGGCTAATTTTTTCCACTGATGCAGCGTTACGGAACCTTTGATCGGTTTTACAATCTGGAGTTTTTCTGGAGCTCTGAATGGGCGACGTCCGTACGATACTCGCCTTTCTGTGAGGAAAAAAAAGCCAAGAAAAATACCGTGAATAACCTTTTAAAAACCTTGTTAAAATTACTGCCTCTCTGTTCGTCGTTATCTGAAGGGCAATCGACCATTTACATAATATCAAAGAATGTCGCCCCTCTTCAAATCATCGTTCCAATTTATATCTGTCTCATCACTCCATTAATTGAGCCAAATTTAAGCATTGTGTGACAAGCAGTTTGGCTAATAGTAAGCTGAAACTAACCGACCAGTTCTTTCTACACCACCCGTACCTTATTAGTGGTTTGTTAAACTGGATTTAATTCAGTCCAGGGGCCATTTAAAACAGTCTGTACTCACCCGCCACGGGGTTCCCAGCTTGAGAGTTTCCCGCACCTTCCGCTGAGGCTTTCGATTCATTTACTGAGGGGGAGTAAGTGAATTTAAAGCCTGACCCTTCAGGGGTACTGGTATTCTTGGACTTAGAGGAAACGCCTTTGCGGGTTCTCTTTGTGTTAATGGCACGCACAGTTTCCATAACACGAGCAGTGTGCTCTCTACAAGAAATAAGATAACAAACTTAATCAGTGACATGTTTCATTACGTCATACAAATGACGAATTCTGAATGCCCAGATGAAGCAGAGATTGAAAGCTTTGGGCATTAGGGAAACGATTTCTTATCAAAATGAAAATAACACTCACTTCGACAAGAAAAAGTTTTGCGCCTGGCCTCCTTTACAGGTAAATGTATGCTTGTTGAACTCGGGAAAAGCCTTTCATATTCGGCGATCTTCGGGGACCTTCGGGGGTTTTCGTAGTTTCACTGAGACACTTTCTTTGGACATCCATGTACATTACTTCAAAGTTACTGCGATTAGCACAATTATCTTAACCAGAGCGGGAGACGGTAGCGAATCAAAACTTGTCGAATACCCATCTCCTTCACGTTTTTTTGTGAAAACACAATGAGGCATATTAATTTACAAGAAATATTCTAACCTTTTCTCCTGTTGGGAGGTCAGGTCTCTTTTGACGCTTTCCTCGATCTCCAAAGCAATTGAGTCACGGGCATCCTTAAATATCAAAGATTCAAACATGAAAGGTCGATCAACAACAGAATAAACAGAAAAACATTAAAGTATTGCTCAGGAGTTTTAATTT